CTTTGGCTCCCGTTGGCCTAGATCAGTGAAGGCGAACCTTCTGAGCTCGGCGTGTCAGCATTTTGAAAAACCCTAACTAAACTCTGGTGCCGTGTCACATATAGAAATTTTTTGGTATTTGCAACCACAGTAAAACAAAGATTTATATTTTTGATATTTATTTTATACTAGAGGCCCGGTGCACAAATATTTGTGCACTTGGGGGGGAGGGGGGGGAACCTCAGCCCAGCCTGTGCCCTCTCGCAGTCTGGGACCCCTCGGGAGATAACGACCTGCTGGCTTAGGCCTGCTCCCGGGTGGCAGAGGGCAGGCCCAATCCCTAGGTGCAGCCCCGGTCGGGCTCAGAGCAGGGCTGATTGGAGAGTTGGGGCGCCTCCCCCTGTCATGCACAGAGCAGGGCAGATCGGGAGGTTGCAATGCCACCCTCAGTCACGCTCAGGGTAGGGCCGATTGGGGGGTTGGGGCACCGTCCCCTGTCACACTCAAGGCAGGGTCGATGGGGAGGTTGCGGCGCCACCCCCTATCACGCACAGAGCAGGGCCAATCAGGGGGTTGGGGTGCTGCCCCCTGTCATTCACAGAGCAGGGCCAATCAGGGGGGTTGGTGCTCCGTACCCTGTCACGCACAGAGCAGGGCCCATCAGGGGGTTGGGGAGCTCCCCCCTGTCACACACAGAGCAGGGCCAATCAGGGGGTTGGGGCACTGCCACTGTCACACTCAGGGCAGGGCCGATGGGGAGGTTATGGCTCTACCCCATCACACACAGAGCAGGGCCCATGGGGGCGGTTGGGGCGCCGCCCTCTATCACCCACAGAGCAGGGCCGATCAGGGGGTTGGGGCACTGCCCCCTGTCACTCACAGAGCAGGGCCCATCAGGGGGGTTGGTGCTTCGTACCCTATCACGCACAGAGCAGGGTCGATCAGGGGGTTGGAGAGCTCCCCCCTGTCACGCACAGAGCAGGGCCAATCAGGGGGTTGGGGCACCGCCACTGTCACACTCAGGGCAGGGCCGATGGGGAAGTTATGGCTCTACCCCGTCACACACAGAGCAGGGCCCATGGGGGGGGGGGGGGGTTAGGGTGCCGCACCCTGTCACACACAGAGCAGGGCCGATCAGGGGGTTGGGGCGCCGCACCCTGTCACACACAGAGCAGGGCCGATCAGGGGGTTGGGGAGCTCCCCCCTATCAGGCACAGAGCAGGGCTGATCAGGGGGTTGGGGTGCCTTCCCCTGTCACGAACAGAGCAGGGCGGATAGGGAGGTTGTGGCCCCGCACCCTGTCACACACAGAGCCGCAGGGCGATCAGGGGGTTTGGGCACTGCCCCCTGTCATGCTGATCCCGGTGCTGGGAGGCATATTACCCTTTTACTATATAGGATAGAGGCCTGGTGCATGGGTGGGGGCTGGCTGGTTTGCCCTGAAGGGTGCCCTGGATCAGGGTGGGGGTCCCCACTGGGGTGCCTGGCCAGTCTGGGTGAGGGGCTGAGGGCTGTTTTCAGGCTGGGACTGAAGCTCCCAACTGCTCCTTTTTTTCTTTTCTTTTTTTTCTGGGCCAGCTTTAGCTCTGAGGCTTGGCTCCAGCTCTGAGGCCTCGGCTGCTGAAAGCAGGTATCTGGTTTGTTTGGGTTCTATAATCGAAACACTGTATCAACTCCAGATCTGTGATCCCGGCGGGCTGAAAGCAGGTTTCTGGGGTTTTGTTTAGCTTCTTTATTTGTAACAATGTTTCAAACTGCAAGCTCAGAGGCCGGCAGCGGCAGGCGGGGAACGTTGGCTTCCTCTGTCACTGAAGCATGCAAGCTTCATGTGCACTTCAAGCTGCCTGGCTGCCGGCCGCCATCTTGGCTGGCAGTTAATTTGCATATCGCCCTGATTAGCCAACGGGAAGGGTAGCGGAGGTACGGCTAATTACCATGTTTCTCTTTTATTAGATAGGGTATTTAAATCCCATTTAACAAAGAAAAATCAACCAAAAAAATGAGTTTGCGTGTCACCTCTGACACACGTGTCATAGGTTCGCCATCACTGGCCTAGATGCTTAGCTACAAAAAGTGGGCTAGCAGCCTCCTCGCTAACTACCCAAGTGACAATGGGGCAGCACACACCGTCTTGCTTCGCTGCGTGTCCTGTGGGACACGGTACGGCGAACAGGTCCAGCCCGTCAGACGTTCTCTGTTTCACAGAGATTTGGGGATGTTGAAACCCAACATCAACTCCGTGGACGGGCTCCAGTCCTGGGCAGGTGAGCGTGTGCAGACCCACCTTTCCGTTCCCATGGTTACTGACTGGGGTCCCCACGCCATGGGATTGCGTTCCCGTGGGAGGGGGCTGAGAGCGAGAAGGCAGCTGCGATGGGAAGCAGCCTGTTCAGCCTGGTTGAAGGATTGGTTCTCTGCTAGGAATGCCCTAGAGAGGTGTTTTTTTCCTTCCACCGAGAACATGACCTTTACGTCTTGTTCAGTAAGCTAATCCGTGCTCCTGGGATAGAAGAAACTCCTGCTGATAGAATAGACCTGTCTGGGTAGCACCGCTCTACACCACAGCCCTTCTCCATCAGAGAGGGAGGGAGGGAGAGGAGGAGGAGGGAGAGGAAGAGAAGGAGGAGGAGGAGGAGGAGGAGGAGGAGGAGGAGGAGGAGGAGGAGGAGATGAAGAATATAAGGAAGAGGAAGGGGGAGGGAGAAGGTGGGAGGGAAACGCAGGTGAATGCTGGGAGGTGGGAGGGGAGGGGAGAGAGAAAAGCCCAGAAACCAGGGTCTGGCTGGAGTGGCTCCCTCCGGGCACAGCTGTGGATGACGACGGAGGCGGCGCTGGGCAGAGTCCACCCCAAGGCGCAAGGCCCACCAGGGTTCCCTCCAATCTTCCCGTCACCATTGGCCTCCGTGGTCGAATGTGTGTCCCCTGGGAAGGAACGATTTCTTGAGCAGGGGGAGTGTGCCTCGCTCTCCAGGAAAACAGTATTTTAAGTATTTTAACAAATTAATCTCCATGTCTCTACGAACACATCTGGGAGCACCAGGGCCCCAAGGGAGCTCGGTGCGTATTTGAATATGAATGACACCAGTGATTGAGGTTACTCCTAGGCCTGCACCCAGAAGGGAGCGCTTTTCAACGGCGCAAAGAGGTTGTCTCCTCCGAGATTGTCAGGATGATCTGTTTGTCCTTTTCAATAGCGGGTCTCAATCCCCGAATCATCTTCCCCGAATCAGATGATTCTCGGGGCTGATTTTGAAATGAGCTCGGATGGGGTTCTTCGTGGAAATGTGTGATTCAAATATATTTAGTGCGTAGGTTTTTTTCCCCTAATAGGAAGGTTTACGACTTGGGTCTCCTTAGCTTTTCTGAGTTCAAAACCAAAGATCTGATATGATATCTTTTTAAAAAATATATTTTTATTGATTTCCGAGGAAAGGAGGGGGAGAGAGAGATAGAAACATCAATGATGAGAGAGGATCCTGGATCGGCTACCTCCTGCACGTCCCCACCTGGGGATCGAGCCCACTACCTGGGCAGGTGCCCTGCTCAGAAATCAAACCATGACCTTCTGGTTCATAGGTCGACTTTCTTTCTTTTTTAAAAAAATATTTTTTATTGATTTTTTACAGAGAGGGAGGGAGAGGAATAGAGTCAGAAACATCGATGAGAGAGAAACATCGATCAGCTGCCTTCTGCACGCCCCCTGCTGGGGATGTGCCCGCAACCCAGGTGCATGCCCTTGACCGGAATCGAACCTGGGACCCTTCAGTCTGCGGGCCGAAGCTCTATCCACTGAGCCAAACCGGCTAAGGCCATAGGTCGACTTTCAACCATCCAGCCGCGCCAGCCTGACTTTTTAAAAATAGGTTTTTATTGGCTTTAGAGAGAGGAAGGGAGAGAGGGAGAGAGAGAAAGACACATGGATCAATGAACCCTTTAACCTGCAGCCAGAGTCTGCGCCGGGACAGGGAATCAAACCCGTGCCCTCTTGGTGCCTGGGTTCACGCTCAAGCCACTGGGCCACACAGGCCCGGGCCTAAGAGCAAACGCCCGGGGGGTTTACTCTGAGCTGCGTGATATTGCCCCAAATCTATGGCAGAAGACACGCTTTCCGGGTGGTCATGACTAATGGAAACCGAAATGAAATTTCCAGTCTGGGGGGCACTTCCGTACGTTCCGCTCGCTTCCTGGCTCAATCCAACTGCCTGTTCCTTCGGGACTTGATGCGTTTTTTCGGCCGCCACTGTTTGCTGTGAGAAAGACACCCATCGGGGTGCCGTTACCCACAGACTCCCCAGCAGGCCACGTTCCCACGCAGAATCGGGGTCGCGAGCACAGGAGGAGGCCAGGCACCCCGGCACGACGTGGGCACCGGCCCACCCAGAGCTAGGCGCGCCTAGTAGGGCCGCAGGAGGTCGGGGAACCCCAGAGAACCGCTGCCTCGTGTTGAAACAACAGCAGAGCCTGGGGTTCCCTCTGGACGGCGAGGGCCCATCCCTGGGGCCCATCCTCAGGCTCCCTGTGGGGTCCCCCAAGGCCTCCCCGCCCAGCGGAGCGCACCCCCTTCCCAGCCTCAAAGCCGGGGTCCCCCCCTCCGCTCCAGTCCCCCCTTCTCTCTGCCCAGCGCGTTGCCAGGCGTGTAATTGGGGAAACTCCTCCCCGCGGCCAGGACCGCCTCCGAGCGCGCAGCAGCCACGCGGCGCGCAGACCCCACCGCGCGCGCGGCACCGGCGGGCGGCGGGCGGCGGGCAGGAGGGTGGGCTGCGCCGGGCGGAGCCGCGGGCTGCGGGGCCCAGGAGCCAGGGACCGCCCGTACCCACCGGACCCCGCCACCCGGATCGGCGGGGATCGCGGGCGGGCGGAGGGGGAGGGGGCGGCGCGTCGCAGCGGCGCGGGGTCCCGCGGAGCCGCGCGCAGACCCGCCGGCCGTCGGGGGCGCGGCCGGCCGCCCGAGCCCGCACCTGTCCGGCCGCTGTCCAGCCGCAGCCCGCGGCCTCGGAGGCGGCGGAGGCGAGGCCGGCGCCGGGGAGGAAGCGGCGCCCGGCCGGAGGCCTCGGACCGCGCGCCCCCCGCGCCCCGCGTGCCCCGCGCTCGCGGCACCATGGCCCCCACGCTGCTGCTGGTCCTCTGCCTGCTGCCCGGCTTGCAGGCGCGGTGAGTGGCGCCCTGGGGCTCCTGGTCCCCAGAGGGAGGAGGCTCGGAGCCCAAGGCTGCGGGGTGGCAGGGGGCGGGGGGCCCGGCCTGGAAGAGGGAGAAGTCTGGGGGGACGAACGGGGGAAGGAGTGGGGGGCTGCGCCCCATCTGTCCCATCTCCTGTCCCATCTCCCGTCCCATCTCCCTGCCTCTCCGGGCTGGGCGGCTGCAGCTCTCAGCCCCGGGAATATGGGATTAGGCTCAGATGACAGGGTTCTGCCCAAGCTTGTAAGATGGGTGGTTTGAAGGGTTTTTGGAAACCAAGCTCAGAGGGGACCAGCGGGGTCTGCCCCGTTACCCACCACCCCTTCCTTCCCCACCCCCTCCAGTGTCTCTCTCTCTCTCTCTCTCTCTTTCTCTCTCTCTCTCTCTCGCACACGGTCACGGCTCTCCCTCTGAATTTCCCAGGACCCGGGAGCCTGGAGTTCCCACCTGCCCAGGTTTTAGATCCACAGCTGGGAGGCGGGGAGAGGACGGAGGCCAGGTGGGCGGCCAGCTGAGAACCCTGCCTTTCAGAAGGGACTTCCCTCCCCGGGTCCTGCACGCACACACACACCTGCACGCCTGTCAGAGCAGCCACTTGGCACGCCCAGAACACGGACACGGCTGTCCCCAGACACGCAGCGTGTCGGAATGGACGACAAGGCCCGGCTGGCATGGCTCCGTGGTCGAGCATCGACCTGTATAGGAACCAGGAGGTCAGGGTGCACATGCCTGGGTTGCAGGCTGGACCCCCAGTGGGGGGCAGCGTGCAGGAGGCAGCCCATCAGTGATGCTCACTCCTCATTGATATTTCCATCTCTCTCTCCCTCTCCCTTCCTCTCTGAGATAAAAAATATATTTAAAACAACAACAACAACAAAAGAGACCCCAATAAGGCTTGTGCCAGGTAACTAAGACATCCTCTCAGGTAATCAATACCTTGAAACCCCCCCCCCCCCAGAACATGGCGGCGCTGACCCAGAGGCCGCCAGGTAGGGATGGAGTGACCGGTGAGGATGGAAGGGGCCGCCGGACCAGCCTCCTGCAGCTGTAAATGCGGCCAGAGATTCGGGGTCATAAACCCAGGCTCGAGGCTGGTTCCAACACTGCAGACTGCCCTGGGCTTTGCAAATGACAGCAGCTCCCTGGCTTTCCCCCCACCCCCGTCTCCACCCCACCCCCCAACCTCAGGGAACCCCTTTCCCAAAACACCCTTGTTTGGACACCTCCTCATGCCCCGGATCTGGGAGCTAGAGAGCATCCCTGTGGGCCGTAACCCTGCAGGTCAGCACATTGGCCTGCGTGTTTGTGGAGGAGGAAATAGCCAGGAAGGCACGTTCACAGAGGCCCCGAGAGGCGAAGGGGCCCCCCGTTCTCACGCCCCACGCCCCATCGGGGTGTTGGGCCCCAGGAGGAAAGCCTTGTGACGATGTCATCGTCACTAAAAGTTGAGACTGAAAGGCGGGCGGCGTGTGCTGGGGGCAGCAGGCTCCGGGCTGACACACAGGCAGCTCCCTCAATCGGCTCCTTTCGGTGCAAGTTTCTTCCTGTTTAAGGAGGAGCTGGGAGGACAGCGCCAGTGCCTGCCTGAGGTCGGTGCTGCCTGAGGCCGGCGCTGCCTGGTTGGGTTTCCACTTAGGGGCGGGGAGCCCCTCGGACGATGGCCGATGGCCGGCCTAACGTGGAGGCCCCGAGGCCTGCCCTCTAGCTCCCAAGTCCTGTCTCGTGACCCCACTATTGTTGCCTCCTGCGGGGAGTGGCCTGCAGTTCAGGGTGAGTTAGCTATGTGGGTCCCGAGACTCGTAAGGTGCTATAGGGTGTCCCAAAATTCACGCAGGATTTGAATTTTGCGTGAGCATTAACAACAACAACAACAAAAAACAAAAGCCTAATCTTACTCGGTTTATTGCATCCGATTCTCATATCTGTTGCCCTTTGATGTCAACCCCTTCAATTGGATAAGCATGACCAAGTACCAATGATGGCCCAGGAGCAGGGACAATGGAGACCAATGAAGACCACGGCTTTGCATCTGTGCCAGCAAAGCCGTGGAGGCCATTTGCCCGATGTGCTGTTCCACACATAACCCTAGACTGTATCCTTTATGAATCAATAGAAAATTTGTAATTTTTCATTATAAACCTGTGTTTTCTATCGAGATTACTTCTTGCGTGAATTTTGGGACATGCTATAGAAGGAGAATGGCCTGTTGTCCCTTGTGGGATGTGCAGGAGGCTGTGGTGTTGAACTTGAAGCAGTCAGGTTCCCAGGCCTCCTCAAAGGCACCCCCGCCCGTCCCCCCCCCCCCCCATCCGCACCCTCCCCTCCCATCCCTCTGTCTCCCTCAGGGCGGATTGCAGCCTATCCTCTCTGTCTGGGTGGCTCCCTGGCCTCCAGAACTGAGGTTGCATAGCACCTGGAAGGGAAAAATCCAAAATTTCTTTTTTTAAATAGATATTTTATTGATCTCAGAGCAGTCGGGAGAAGGAAAGAGAGACAGAAACATCATCAATGATGAGAGAGAATCACGGACCGGCTGCCTCCTGCACGCCCCCTACTGGGGATCTAACCCGCAACCCGGGCCTGTGCTCTGACCTGGCATCGAACCGTGACCCCCTGGTTCATAGAGGTCGTCGCCACCGGGCAAAAAAAAATGCACATTTTAAACGGGTGGCGTTGTCTTCGGCCTCTCGTGTGCAGGGGTCTTTGTTCTCCGAGTGGGTTTTAGCGACGTGGGGATGTGACCGGGGGTGATCTTTTCAAAGCGGTTATTCATGCGGGGAGGGGTCTCCCTCGCACCCTGCAGGCCTCCCTGGTCGGGGAGCCCTGGGAAAGGTGGTGGCAGACGGACGAGCTCTGTGCCGAGGGCTTGGCAGCTCCCTGGCGGGCAGTGTGCCCCAGCCTGACTCCCTGCGGGTGCGCTCGCTGTACTGAAACCTTCTAAGTCGCACCGGGTCCTCGGGGACACCAGGGAGGTGCTTAGCTGCTCTCTGAGGCTTCGGGGCTCCTGCTAGTGTTTCAAAGGAGTTGAGACTTGCCCTGGCCAGTGTTGCTCAGTGGATAGAGCGTCGGCCTGTGGACTGAAGGGTCCCGGGTTCGATTCCAGTCAAGGGCGCATGCCTGAGTTGTGGGCTCGATCCCCAGTAGGGGGTGTGCAGGAGGCAGCCGATCCATGATTCTCTCTCATCATGGATGTTTCTATCTCTTTCCCTCTCTCTTCCTCTCTGCAATCAATAAAAATGTATATTTGGGGGTGGGGGGGGGTGGGAAGGGATTTGAGACTTCATCCTGGTCCTCATGGTGGAAGAGAAGGTGCAAGACGTGGAAGTGACATCGAGCGTCCGGGCAGCGGCTTGACAACGGCAGCCCGTCGCCGGTTTGCTTTTAAGACAAAGCGAACTGCAGGGGTGGCGTCCGGGAGCCTGCAGTCCCGAGCACAGGACGCTCGTAAAGATTATATATAACCCACTTAGCACGCGAAGAAGCGGAGCCTGTGTTTTAGGCGCACGCCAGTGCGTCCCCCGAGATGACACTCGGCTTTCATCAAGGCGCGGGTTTTCCCGTGGGGCTGGGTGTCTGGGCCTGAGTGCCGGGAAGCTTCTGTGTCATTCTCTCTCTCCAGTTCTGCAGCCAGCGGACACGTGGGCTCAGGGGTGGGGGAGCCAGTGCCAGGCGCTGAGGGGCCGGGGGCATCGCCGCCAGCCCCCCGCCCTGTCCAGCCCAGCCCTGCCCCACAGCCGGGGTCCCCTTGGTCTCCCGGGAGAGAAGGCAGCTTCTTGGCCTTGCAGGCTGCCTGCCCCCTCTCACCTGCCCAGGCCTCTAGGGAAGCCGCTTATGCAATTCCAGGGAAGCCCTCCATCCCCGCTAGAGGGAGAGGACGGGATTCCTTTTAATACCTGTCGCCCAAGGAGCTTCAGGGTATTTCTCAGAAGCCACGGCCGTGTACAGGGAGGATTGACAGGCGTGGGTCCGTGGGCTCATCTGTGTCCGTAAGACCATTGGGGCCGTCGCCACACGAGAGCAGGACCCGGTCTCTGCTGGGGAGCTGTCTTTGGGTGTTTTGCGGGAAGGGAGAGGGGGAGAGGAGAGAAAGGGGAGGAGGGAGAGGGAAGAGAGAGCCCACAGGGAGGAGAAGGGGAGGAAAATTCGGTAGCTCAGTTGGACGTGCGTCCTGAGAAGGTCGTGTGATTTGGCCGAGGCCAGCCGCCCCCTCCCTTCCCCTCCCCACACCTTGGCTGTGGGATGAATCGCCAGCCAGCCATGTCCCACAGGACGTGTGTCGACGACTGCTTGTTTTTAAATTCCAAATGATAACATTCCCATTCCCGGTGAAAGGAACTATTTTTAGTGACATTTAGGAAACGCCGCTAGTGTTACGTGTCGCATATCACTTACCGAATACATGTTCCGAATTTTATCGGTTCCTCTTGACGGTGAACGGTTTGCTGCGGATCGAAATTCGTGGCAATTTAAGAACATGTACGTATATGTTTTATTGATTTCGAGAGAGGAAGGGAGAGGGAGAGAGAGAGAGAAACATCCATGATGAGAGAAAAATGGACCAGCTGCCTCCCGCACGCCCCCCACTGGGGATCGGGCCTGCAACCCGGGCCTGTGCCCTGGCCGGGAATCGAACCCTGACCTCCTGGTTCACGGGTTGAGGTTCAACCACTGAGCCACGCCGGCCGTGTGCAATTCGCAGTTTTTATTGGTGGCTTATTTTATCCTTCTAGACCAGTGGTTCTCAACCTCCTGGCCCTTTAAATACAGCTCCTCATGTTGTGGTGACCCCCAACCATAACATTATTTTTGTGGCTACTTCCTAACTGTCATGTTGCTACCGTGATGAATCGTCATGGAAATACCTGACATGCAGGATGGTCTTAGGCGACCCCTGTGAAAGGGTCGTTCGACCGCCAAAGGGGTCGCGACCCACAGGTTGAGAACCGCTGTTCTAGGCAATATGCCTTCAAGAAATAAAACTGCAGCGCGAGATCAGGCTCGGAAGAGCTTGAACTCAGTCGTAGGTGCCAGGCGCCATACACGCGTGGGTGGCCAAGCTCTCACACGCACGATGCCCCGAATCCTGCTTCCTGATGAATCCAGAATTAGAATATTTGTGTCTCCTTTTACTTTTGGACTTGAGTGATCATCCGGAGGCTGGGCAGAGGGCCCCGGGGGCTTCTGTGGCTTTTTCCGTGGCCCTCGGGCAGCCCACGGGGAATAATACGCTCCCCGGACCCTTGGGCAGCCCACGGGGAATAATACGCTCCCCGGAGCCGTTGGGCCGACGTGTCCTCTCACTTTGTGCCGTGACCCAGGTCCAGGAAGGCGGAGGAGGAGGACCAGGAAGACACGGCGTCGAACCAGAAGTGGGTCCTGGCCCCCAAATCCCAGGACACGGACGTGACGCTCATTCTCAACAAGCTGCTGAGAGAATACGACAAGAAGCTGCGGCCGGACATCGGCAGTGAGTACCACGTGTGCGGTTTCCGCGGAAAACGGGCGCCGTGGTGCATGTGTCACGGGTTTTGTTTTTAAAGCGTGGCTTTTATTGATGTCAGAGAGGAAGGGAGAGGGAGGGAGAGAGAGAAACATCATCCATGATGAGAGGGAGTCACGGACCGGCTGCCTCCTGCACGGGGGTCATGCCTACCACCTGGGCCTGTGCCCTGACCGGGAATGGAACCCGGGACCACCTGGTTCCTGGGATGACGCTCAGCCAATGAGCCGCGCCTGCGGGCGCCATGAGCAGGTGGTGGTGGGAACCCCGGAGCCAGACGGCCAATGTGCTCAGAGCACCCGCACTGCCTGCCGGGAGGAGCCCGCCGGGCGGGAGGCTGGTGGCTGCTCTGCGCTCTCCTGCTGCTCCGAGGCCCAGAGCACCCGGCGGTGCCACCGGGACCCTCCGTGGTGACCTTGGGACCCTCTGATGTGACCTTGCAGGTGGGCCCAGCCCCCGCCGCCGAGGGGAGGGGTAGGGGGCGGGAGAGGGGCAGCGACCCACGGCGCTCAGGCCTCAGGCCGGACAGGTTCTGGGAGCTCCCTGCGTCTCTGATGTCTCTGGCTCTTACACCCCTTCCCCTGCCCCCTCTCCCCCCCCCAAGACTCACTCATGGCTCTTCTGGGCAAGTTTCGTGCATTTGGGCCGTTGCATCTCCTGGGTTGCAGTGCAGCCAAGCACCTTCCGTCCTCGGAAGAATTCGAATTCGGTCAGCTGGTGTGGCTCAGTGATTGAGCGCCAACCTAGGAACCAGGAAGTCAGGGTTTGATTCATGTCAGGGCACAGGCCGGGGCTGTGGACTCGATCCCCAGTGGGGGGCGTGCAGGAGGCAGCCGATCCGTGATTCTCTCTCATCATGGATGTTTCTATCCCTCTCTCCCTTCCTCTCTGAGATCCACAAAAACATTTTTAAAAATCAATGGAAAGATGCGCTCGGGTGAGGATTCACGCACACACACTCAGAGAAGGGGGCGCCGCAGCTTGGAGGACCGGCTGTGGAGCTGACGTGAGGAGGGGAACCCCTTCCGTGTACTTCCCACAATCCCGCGGCCGAATCGACCCCCCACCTGACCGTAGGCGCCTCCGTGCGCACATGGGCACCTCCCCACCTTCTCCGTCCAGCTGGTCCACGGAGACCCAACACCAGGAAACCCTCGCGATGGCCTGTCCGCGTCCCCGCCAGCCATGAACAGCTCACGGCAGCCTCCGGGAGGAATGCGTCCACGCGGGATCCTCTAATAGTTTCCATAACCCACGCTGCGACCGTGACGTGTTTAAAAAGACGCCCCAGCGGTGATCTCTCCCCCACTCGCTCCTGAATTATGGACGGGCCTGTAGCCGGCCCCCGCCTCTCCCCATCCATCACCCCGAGCGCGACGTCAGCCGTGTCCTTAACGGGGGCGGGCTCTGCTGGTGCCATTTGTCTCGGGGACACCTCGCCGTGGGAGCCCGCGGTGGCTGGAGGGCGGTAAACCTTTTCCTAAGAGAATTGCGCAGAGGAAGGGCAATGACCCGAGGGACTGTCTCCCCCTCAGGGCCTCCAGGAACGCGAACCTCTCCGTGGAATAGATGGTTACGAAACACAGATTCCCTCTCCGGGACCGGGCGGTCGGGCCAAACGCCATCGGTGCCGGGGCGGTCGGGGGCCGCGTGCTGGCTGGCGGCCCAGGGGAATGCTCGCTGGGAGCGTGTGCCGTACTCGGGCAGGACCCCAGGGTTCATTTAACCCGGGCACGGCCCCTTCTCTTGGCTCTGGTTCATCTTAGGGTCCTTCCTGTTCCTCTTGTTCCGGCGGGTGCCTCTCTGGACTCCTGTGCCAGGCTGTTCTAAAGCTTATTCGCTGAGCTTAGTTAAAACTCCTAGCCCGGCCGGCGTGGCTCAGTGGTTGAGCATCGACCCCTGAACCAGGAGGTCACGGTTCTTCGATTCCCGATCGGGGCGCACGCCCGGGTTGCGGGATTGATCCCAGGTAGGGGGCGTGCAGGAGGCAGCCGATCCTGGATTCTCTCTCACCATTGCTGTTTCTCTCTCTCTCCCTCTCCCTTGGTCTCTGAAATCAATACAAATATATTAAAAAAATAAAATAAAAAGACACGTCGGTGCTTTATGTCAGAGGAAGAGGAGTCGGAGGCGGGTGCGGGGCCCCTAGAGCATAGCCCCCTGGCGGACCTGGTCGGACGGCCCCAGCCGGGCACCGCCTTGGAGACGGCCAGCTGTCCTTTCCCGGAACGCCGGCAGAGCCAGAAAAGAGAATTCAAATGCATCCCCTCGGCTCTCGGAGCAGATGGAGGGGAGGAAGCAGACATTCTTAATTGCTGCGCCTGAGATAAAAGCGATGCCTGTAGACGGCGCCGGTTCTCTCTCCAAGTTCACGCGCGTGCACACAGGGGTGGGGGGGTGGGTGGGGGGGCACAGGTTTCCTGCAGAAATTATACCGGTCGCCTCCCTGGGAGACTCCTTGGGCATCCAAAGGGCGCTGGTGGGAACCCAGTTCCTCAGCTCAGTGCAGGTTGGGAGGGGGCCCGTCCTCACACACCCTCTCGCCTCCCCCCACCTCCCATGCTGGGTGGGGACCCTTCTCACACACACACACACCTTAGGGCTGAGCACACAGAAGGATCAATGAGTGCAGGCATAGATAAGCGGACAGCAAATTGATGTTTCTCTCTCTCTCTCTCTCTCTCTCTCTCTCTCTCTCTCTCTCTCTCAATATCCATAAATAGAAAATAAATATTAAACCCAATATTGCTCTATTTTTAGTTCCTTGCTATAAGCATTACAGACCAGCCTGGCTGGCGTGGCTCAGTGGTTGAGCATCCACCTATGAACCAGGAGGTCACGGTTCGATTCCCGGTCAGGGCACAGGCCTGGGTTGTGGCTTGATGCCCGGGGCGGTGGGGGGGAGGGGGTGTAGGAGGCGGCCGATCCATGATGCTCTCTCATCATGGACGTTTCTGCCCCTCTCTTCTCTCCCTTCCTCTCTCTGCAATCGATAAAAACATCTTTTTAAAAAAATGACAGCCTCTGTCAACACCTGGCTCAGGGACAGTGGACACGAAGGGTCCCTTCCGTCCGCGGTCTCCCCAGAAGCACACAGTTTCCCGTGTGGGGTCCGGGCCGGGACACACAGCCCCAGACACCGCCAGGGCCCCGGGCTGCGTCTCGCGGTGCGATTTCCGTTCAGCTGTTGGCGCTTCATCAGCCTCTCGTTAGCATCCTGCTCCAAAATACCTTCGTTTCCATCAAGAATGACTGTGCCCATGCTGATGAGGCTGCTCCCCGGCTCATTTGCATCGGAGGGGATGGGGAAATGGTCGCCTCCTAGAGCTTCGTCGTCGGGAGGGATTCTAAAGGAAGTCTGCCCGCGGCTCACGAGTCTGGCTCGGCCTCAGAATTACCCCGAAAACTCTTTGAAAGACCGAGATCCCAGCCCCACCCCCAGGACCTACCCACTCGGAATATTAACTATTTTTCTGTTTTCTAGTTCCCTGATTTCCTCTTAGATCTGTGTTGTTACTGCTCTTCTGCTTCCTTGGGGTTTTATTTGCTCTATTTTTAGTTCCTTCTGTTTATGGTTAATCCTCACCCAAGGATATTTTTTTCCATTGATTTCTGGAGAGAGTGGAAGGGAGGGGGGGAGAGAGAGAGACGTTGATGTGAGAGACACACATGGATGGGTCGCCTCCCGCACAGGCCCTGACGGGGGCACAGGGATAGAGCCTGCAACCCAGGTACGTGCCCTCGACTGGACTCGAACCCGGGGCCCTTCAGTCCAAGGGCTGAAGCTCTAACCACCGAGAAGAACAGGCCAGGGCTGTTTTTATGGTTTTCTATTTGCTGTATCATCAGCCTGCCCCACATCACAGAATATCTTCATGGCCCTTTATCAGTTTCTGTTTACTTCTATACAAGTAAGACTCTCTCCTCTTCCGGGGACTTTAGAAAGACAGACAGGGAGGGTTTGAACCGTAGCTGCCGTGCAAGGCCCCAACAAAAAGCCCCCCCTTTTTATAAAATATATTTTTATTGATTTCAGAGAGGAAGGAAGAGGGAGCGAGAGAGAGAGAAACATCCATGATGAGAGAGAATCATCGATCGGCCGCCTCCTGTACGCGCCCACATTGGGGATCGAGCCCGCAACCCGGGCATGTGCCCCGACTGGAAATCTAACCGCGACCTCCTGGTTCGCAGGTCGATGCTCAACCACGGAGCCACGCCGGCCGGCCTGCTCCCCCCTTTTTAACAGACCCTGGGGGTCCTGGTGCTCGAATCCAAGGGGTTGAGTATTTTCCTGGGTCCCGGGCGCAGAGCACTAACCCACGCGTCTCTCTCTCCGCAGTGAGACCCACCGTCATCGATGTCGACATCTACGTGAACAGCATCGGGCCTGTGTCGTCCATAAACATGGTAAGAAACGACCATTTGTTCCTGTTTGGATCTGCCGGACGGATTCACTTCTCGCTGATATTCCCGTGGCGGGTTTTCTGTGCGTGATTCCTCCGGCGGGCTCCCAGCTCGCGGCGGACTCCCCGACGCGGTGGCGTGTCTCGGTGGCGTGTGCCGGTAGTTTAATGTGGACGATGCTGAACGTCGGGGCTGGGGCTGTGACGGTGGCAGGGAGACCCGCCCCCCCCACATGGTTAGGTCCACGCCCAAAGGAGCCCCAGGCCAAGAGACACTGTGAGCGTTTAAGAGATTTTATTACATCCTCTCTTCATGGGCAGGGACCAGTCTGTCGGTGTCTGCCCCGAGGGGTGGTGAGGTCCTCTCACATCGGGTGGAAGTACGCAATATGGGGTCAGGGTATGGGGGCGGAGGGCGGTCAGGCGGAGGGGAGGAGAGGGAAAGAGAGAGAGACAGAAAGCTCAGTGATGGGAGAAAATCGTGCATCGGCTGCCTCCTGCACACCCCCTGCTGGGGATCGGGCCCCGAACCTGGGCCTGTGCCCTAAGCGGGAATCGAGCCGTGATCTCCTGGTCAAGGGCACCTACCTGGGTTGCAGGTTCAGTCCCTGGCCCTGATCAGGGTGCATGCGGGAGGCAACCCATCGATGTGTCTCTCCCATCTATGTTTCTCTCTCTCTTTCTCTCTCTTCCCTTCGTTCCACTCTCTCTAAAAAAAAAAAAAAAAAAAAAAAAAAAAAAAAAATCAATGGGAAAAAATAGCCCTGGGTGAGGATTAACAACCAGAAAAGAAATGGAAGCATCTCGAGCTGTCGAAGCAGCCCCTGCCCAGCTCTGCTCGCTGGAGCTCCAGATGGGGGGGTCTGACTGAGTCACTGCGGAGACGAGGAAAGATCCCGCATGCTTTTCGCTTTTAGCCGAGACGCACCCCGTGGGGCAAACTGCTCCTTGGGCATGTGAGTCACCAACTCTCTCCCCATTGGACGAAGCTCCGAGAAACCTGTGGAACCGACCGGAAGTGAGCCATGCCTTGCTCACCCCGAAATCACAGCATCTCTGAATTGGGGGAGTTAATTTATTTGTTTAAAAAAAATTTTTTTTAACTTCAGAGAGGAAGGGAGAGGGAGAGAGAGAGAAACATTGATGATAAGAGAGAATCATCGATCATTGATCAGCTGTCTCCTGCACACATCCCCCCACACACACACACACACCAGCCCCTCCACGGGATGGAGCCCGAAACCAGGGCATGTGCCTTTGACCAGGGATCGAACTGTGCGTGACCTGATCCCTAGGCCCCACACCGGCCGGACGAAAGGCCAGGCTTTTTGTCTCACACCGTGTCCCAGGCTGGGCTGGGCCTGAACTTGGGTCCTTTACCTCGTGCGGTTTTTAAGCCTGTGATGACGTGACGTTCCTTTCAGGTAACAGTTCTTCTGCCGTTGTTGTTAGAATCGAGCATCGGCTTTTACCAGCTAACTAGCAGCCCGGCTGTGTGGTACATAAAACCGCTCAGCCCAGCCCTGCCGCGTGGCTCAGGGCACCAGCCCGCGAGCCAGGAGGTCACCGGTTCGGTTCCCGGTCTCGGGATGCGGGCTGGACCCCCAGCAGGGGGCGTGCAGGAGGCCGCCGATGGATGCTTCTCGCTCACCATTGACGTTTCTCTCCCTTCCTCTCTGAAATCAATAACAATATATATGTTTTTAAATCAATGAAAACATATTTAAAAACACACCCACAATTACCTCTCCGCGGCGTCGATCTTCCGAGGGTGGTCACCGCTCTCCCAGCGGCACCGGCGTCCTGATGCGTCCTGTTCCCACAGGCCAGTCGGGGCCGCTGAAGATTTATGATCAGCAGGTAGCGGCTTCAGACTGATTTATGGGACCCGTCATCCTGTCTTCCCTCCTCCTGCCTCCTCATCCCAACCAAAAAAAAAAAAAAAACAAAAACAAAAAAAAACTGGAGGATAAAGCGTTTCCTGGCAGGACTGAGCCTCCGGCGCTGACCCCAGCTTCATCGATAACCTCCCGTAAATTGCATGCCGGCGGGGAGCCTGCTTTTAGACGGTAACTGGGCCCTGGTGGAAGCCACGGAGGCAGACACAGCCCTGCTCTCTGCCAGGAAAACCCCTGAGGGGCACCCCCACCCTCTGCTTCCTGTTGTTGTTAATCCTCACCCGAGGCTATTTTTTAAAAAGTAATTTTTTATTGATTTTAGAGAGAAAGGGGTGGGGGGGGGGGAGAGAGAGAGAGAGAGACATCAGTGATGCGAGAGAATCCTGGATCGGCTGCCTCCTGTACGACCCCTACTGGGGATCGAACCGGCAACCCAGGAGCGTGGCCTTGACCGGGAATTGAATGAACCTCAGACCCTGCGGTCGTCCGAGGGCCGGCGCCCTAACCACTGGCCCACACTGGCCAGGGCGGGGCGTGTGTGTATTTAGGGAGCAGGGACCTCGGGGATCAGGCCCTGGTGTCGATGTGACGATAACCACGATCGCCGGGCGCATTGTACTTCGAGCTGGAAAGAGAGGCCGTCCCGGTTAAGGGCCTCTGTGCTCGGGCAGGGTGGCCCCGGGGCTGGCGGCTGCCTGGCGGGCGGGCTGGCGGCCGGCGGAGACCCCTCGTGCTTTGCAGGTGCCACCGGGATTGCGGGGCCCTCTCCCCACCCGCCGCCGCCCGGGGCTCCCGGGGACGGGCCGGCTGTGTGTTCAGACGCCACCTCCATCCCACTAACTTGGAAGATGTCTGATGGCCCATCCAAGTGTCTGTGTTTGTTGTTGTTGTTAAAAATCTGGGCTTCCTCGTATCCTAGGCAACCCCTGGAAGCAGCAATAGTCCAAGGCGGGCGGCATCCTGTGGGTTTCTGTCGTCAAAACCCCCGAGTCCCCGCAGACAGGCGCTGTTGGTGGGTCGCTTTGCCCGTGGGGATCCGTGCTGCCCGACGTCAGTGGCCTTCGGTGGCACGGCTCTGGGCTCGGAAGCCACAGAGGGGGCACCTCCATGCTCACCTCCACCCCTCCTCCCAGCAGCATGGCTCCTCCTTCTTCTCCTTTGTTAAATTATATTTTTATTGGCTTCAGAGAGGAAGGGAAAGGGAGGCAGGGATAGAAACATCCATGATGAGGGAGAATCACGGACCGGCCGCCTCCTGCACGCCCCACACGGGGGATCGAGACCGCAGCCCAGGCCTGGGCCTGACCGGGAATCGAACGGTGACCTCCTGGTTCCTAGGTCGACGCTCAACCCCTGAGCCACGCCCGCCGGGCTAAAACAGTTTAAAACTTTGGTTCCTGTCTCTTCTCCTTTGTTTGGACCAGAGTCGCCGAGGTGACGTGGAAATTATTTCACAGAAAGACTTCCCTCTTTTCTTGAGAAAAACACACCTCCGTGTGTTTAGTGCAACAGGTTGTGTTCCTGTGGGGGCGTGCGAGAAATTCGAAAACAAACACATTTTCCTTGCAGATGGTTAGGTGTCGGGCTCGGCCTGGGTTGTGGATTATTATTATTATTATTTTTTATTATTGATGTCCGAGAGGCAGGAAGAGGGAGATAGAAACATCGATGAGAGAGGCTGCCTCCTGCACGCCCCCGACTGGGGATCGAGCCCGCAACCCGGGCCTGTGCCCTTGACTGGAATCGAAGCCAGGACCCTGCAGTCCTCAGGCCGACGCTCTGTCCACTGAGCTAGGGCCACTGTGGATTTTCTGGGGAAGAAACGGAATCTTGCTTCGCTTGGCAACCCAGCACCATGGACAGCGCCCGCCGCATGGCAGGCGCTCCATGTTGGCTTGCAGAGAAACACATGCACACACACGCACGCTAACCCCCCCCCGCCCCCAAAACAGCGAGTTCTATGATTCAGCCTCAACCTTGCACCAGAGGAAGGCAGCCCGGGGAGATGCCGGTGTTGGGCAGCCGCAGAGAACTCCTCCCACAGTGTTTGTATCCGGAATTCATTCTTCCTCCTGAGTAATTCATCGAGACGGAATCAAACAATTCACCACGCGAAAGGCGGGCAAGAAGGGATGTCGAAGTTGCAGCATTGAGGGTCCTTTTTAGAAGCCACGCGGGTAGGACCCGACCGGGTGTGGCTCAGCCGTTGAGCGGCGATCTGTGAACCAGGAGGTCACCGGTTCGATTCCCGGTCAGGGCAGGTGCCGGGGTTGCGGGCTCGATCTGTTTCCCAGGGCTGCTGGCCTCTCGCTCTCTTATTATTATTATCATCATCATCATCATCATCATCATTATTATTTTCTCTCTGTTCTGTTCTGGGCCTGTTCATGTGAGGCATGCCAAGACAGATGGGGGACCAATTTGCAAATGGCCCTTGCTGCTTAGTTGAGCCTTTCCTGCGCTGACCTTCCGGGGGAAAGTGGCGGAAAACACACGTCCTCCCGCGTCCACCGCCAGCCTTCTCCCCGTCGCCCCCTCGGGCTGGGCGGCGTGCAGGACACTGTGAGGAAATTGGCGGGAGATGAAAGAACGCGCTTCCTTTGATGGTCAGTGAGTTGCTGGCTTTGTCATGATTAACCCATCTCTCCTCCGATTCAGCTGCCGGTCTCCCTGGAGATCAAAGGAAGGGCTTTTTCTCTCTCGATCCGCAGCATTGTTTACGGCTGAGCTCCGGGGGCTACCGTGTGTGGCAGCGGCCCCCACGCACTCGCTCGAGCTCGAGGGGGGCCTGACCCTGGCCGAACCTCGGCCCCACAGGCCGGCCGGGGCCTCCTCCGCTCGGCTCCCAGGTCAGGCCGCACCCGATGCATAAATGTGTGCCGCGTTCATCGTCCTCCCGGCGCTCGGGGATCCTGAACACGCAGAACGTGGGCTTTCCTCACGCACGACGGGTGATTGCCTGCATCGATCTGCTTGACTGGGTCTCGAGGTGCCCGCGTTGCTGGTCAAACATGATTCCGGGGCTGCCTGTGAGGGGTGTCTCTGGTTGAGGTTCACGTTTGAATTCGTAGACAGAGAACAGACAGCCCGCCCCAGGGTGGGTGGG